CCATTCTTGCCCTATCGTTTTTCCCACTGTTTCCCCCATCCCCTTCCCCCTACCGTACCATTGTACTGATCCCCGATTCCCCGCGAGTCCCAAAAAAAAAAATTTTTTTTTAGTGAAAAGAGAGAAAAGAAAGAGAAAAAAAAAAAAAGGGGGAGAAGTGAGAAGGGGGGAGAAAGAGAAGGGGAGGGGGAGAAGGAGAAGGGGGGGAAAAAAAGGAAAAAAGGGAAAAAGGGGGGGGGGGAAATGAGAGAGAGGGAAAAAAATTTAAAAGAGGGGGGAAGGGAAAGGGGGGGAAGGAAAAGAGGGGAGAGAGAGAGAGAGAGAGAGAGAGGCGAGGGGGGAGGGGAGAGAGGGGAGAGAGAGAGAGGGAAAAAAAAAGGAAAAAGAGGAAGAGAGAAAAAGTAAGAGAGGAAGAGAGAGAGGGAAAGGGAAGAGGGGGAAAAGGAAAGAGAGAGAGGAAGAGAGGAAGAAGAAAAGGGGGGAGAAACAGAAAAAAAAAGGGGGGAGAAAAGGGGAAAAAGAGAGAGAGAGGGAGGAGAGGGGGAGGGAGAGGGATGGGGGGGGAAAAAAGGGAAAAGGGGTTTTTGGGGGCCCTTTAAGGAAGGTGTGAAAAACCTGTATTTTGGGGGTGTTTGTGGGGGTTTTTGTGTTGTATGTGTTTTGGGGTGTGTGTGTGTGTGTGTTTTGGGGGTGTGTGTGTGTGTGTGTGTGTGCACAGCCATTCAAATGCCTAACAGGATCCCTTTTTACCTAGTGTGGTTTTGCATTAAATTTTTTGTAAACAGTCCTTAATTTTCCCACGTATGTAAATACATATGTATTGCAATGTACCCATCTCTTGGTTCCCACTGTACTGTCTTATGCGTTTAAAATTAACCCTTAAAAAATAAATACACTAGGGTTTTTTGCCTGATGGGCCCCTCCTCTAAATTCAAAAAATGCCATTAAAAGTGCTCCCTTTTAATTCTGATAGCTTTGGGGAGGTGACCCCCAAAACCGTTACCCTCCAACGGCCCCCACAAACACTTAGTCACTTTTTTCCTTTGTTTTCTTTTCTGTGACACTTTTTTTTTCCCTTTTTTTCGGCGTTTAAAATGTTTATATCACTTTTATCGGCAAGCCCTAACCCCACTCTTTTCCTTATGGACAGTAGAAATTACCACCAAAACACGAGCTCAAACCGCGTGACCCTCCACGAGGTTGTGTTTTGTGTGTGGGGTTGGGGTGTGTTGTGTGTGTGTGTGTGTTGTGTGTGTGTTGTGTCTGCTCTGCTGTTGAGAGAGAGAGAGAGAGAGAGAGAGAGAGAGAGAAACTCTAGTGACTCCCGAAAAGGTCACCCTTTTAAAATTTTCCTCCCTTCACCGCGGAGAGGGAAAATAGGCCAGGGTGGTGGGGGTGTGGGCAGGGTATTAGGGTGGGTGGGGGGTGGGGTGGGGGAGGGATTGTTGTGAGCAAGGTGGGGGAAGGAAAGGAGAGGGCAAAAGGGAGGGGGTGTGGTGGTTGTGGGGGGTTATTTGCATGTGGGGGAAAGGGGAAGATGGCAGTGGGCATGTGGATGGGCGGACTGACTAAAATGGGCGGAGAAAATAAACAGGGGCTGAAAAAAGAGTACAATATTTTGACAAGTGTGTCTAGGACTGGTAACCTTAAAAAGGAAAGGAAATTTTGGTTTTTCAAACACCAATCTTTTGTACCATCAGCAGGCCCGGGGGTTGAGTTGCTTTGTTCCTTGATTGGAAAATTTTTGCTTCAAAAAACCTTTTTCAAAAACCTTGAAAAAAGGGATTTGGGGCGAAAAATTGTAACTACACCCGGGGCAATATCTTTTAAAATTTAAAAAATGGGGCTAAATTCAGCATTAACCCCCCCAAAAAATTTTTAAAGGCAGTGATAAGGGTTCTTAAAACTTAGAAAATCAAATTATGAGTTGGGCCGGGGACGGGTTTGGGGCAGCAGTAAATGTTTCTTCGAGGAAAGCGGAAACAGTTGTACAATTTTTAGGGAAGATATCGCAGCTTTTTGTGGGTTCAGGGCTCAGGGCGAACCCCGGATTAAGGGGAGAGGGACCTTTCCTTGAATAGATAAGAAAACACAATTTTTCCAAAACCTTCAAATTTGGGGGAACTCCCCAAACCCTTTAAGTTTTTCCACAACACAAAAAACCCCTCCTTTAGGCATATCTCTTTAAAGAAATTTTTTGGTTCATATTTTTTTCCTTTCCCCTTTTCTTGATGTCAGAAAATTTACCTCTCGGGTGTATTATTTTTTTTGAGCATAGCTACGACCGGGGTTATGGGGGAGGCCAAAGCACACTCGCAAAGATGAGTTAACTTGGGTAATCGTTATGGGGGGTATGGGGTCAGCGCCACTGCGGGGGAGGAGGCAAGAGGAGGCGGGTGTGGGGGGGAAAGGGGAGGAATGATTTAGGCGCATGGCCCCTCCCTGTTTCCCCCACTCCCAGGGAAAGGAAAGGAAAGGGATTTTCTATATCTGGCGGCCCGCTGAAATCCTAAAAAGAAGAGATTTTTAATGTTTTTTGTGGTAATGGGCGGTGGTGTGAGCGTAGTGTGCGTAGGGTTTGTACAGGCAGTGGGGGGGCATGAGTGTGTGTGTGTGTGTGTTTGTGGGTGTTTTTGTGGTGTAGGTTTTTGACTTTAAAAAAAACCCACACAACACCAGCCTCACCACGGGTTTTTCACCCCTATAGGGCAGCACAGCCTCCCCATCCAGGGACTTGCAACGCAGAAGAACAGCAACGATGAGACAAACGCACCAACAAACACATCATGAAAGAGACTAAAAACGAAAGTGCGTGAAAATTACTTTTATTGTGTTTAATTAAACAAACTTTTGGTAAATGGGTAAGCCAGTGCCCCAAGTTTACTGGAAGACCCCACAAGTTTACTGGAAGACCCCACAAGTTGACTGGAAGACCCCACAAGTTTACTGGAAGACCCCACAAGTTTACTGGAAGACCCCACAAGTTTTCTGGAAGACCCCACAAGTTTACTGGAAGACCCCATAAGTTTACTGGAAGACCCCACAAGTTTACTGGAAGACCCCACAAGTTTGCTGGAAGACCCCACAAGTTTGCTGGAAGACCCCACAAGTTTACTGGAAGACCCCACAAGTTTGCTGGAAGACCCCACAAGTTTACTGGAAGACCCCACAAGTTTACTGGAAGACCCCAAAAGTTTACTGGAAGACCCCACAAGTTTGCTGGAAGACCCCACAAGTTTACTGGAAGACCCCACAAGTTTACTGGAAGACCCTGTATATCATACCCGGGAAGACTACACTGAACTCTACAAAAGTTAAGCATTTCGGATAAGCTATCAGTAGAGATACAGCAACAATTAGGTTTTGATCGAGGAGTTCTGTCCGTTCCTCTGTTTATCCAAATGAGTGTAAAGGCTTCAACGTGGAGCAACAGAAGTGATTAAGACTTTAACGATTGTTTACCCCTTGCAACTGCTAGGTGATGGGCAATATTTCGGGAATTTTACCGGTGTATGACTGACTCATCACAGACACATCTGTGTTGAAGAGCTTGCTTGTCTCAGGAGCGTCTAAAGGATTATTTGCCTAACAGTTTAAAAAAAATAAATATCGGTCACATATCTCACTGATGACATTGTAAGGAGGAGAATATAAATGATTTTATGAATATTGGCATGTTCTGCTGTCGTTTCCACTTATCCCTCTCTGCTCACCTACCTCATAAATGAAGTCTCTTGCTAGGAATAGTGTCAGAAATATACAGTCCACCCGCTCCTTTTTCCTGTTTAACCTCTGTTACTCAGCCAGTTAGCTTCAGTAGGTTTGCGAGACAAGATTCACTTTCTCTAAACCACGCGTGTGTATGGGTATGCACGGGAGTTATGGGCGTGTGTGGGAGTGGATTTGTGTGTGTGTGTGTGTGTGTGTGTGTGTGTGTGTGTGTGTGTGTGTGTGTGTGTGTGTGTATGTGTGTGTGTAAGAGAGAGAGAGGTGTAGGTAGGTAGGTCACTGGAAGGTCAAGGGTGGAGGCTGGCATTAACGAGAGAATATTTTAGCATCAGCACGACCCTCCGCAGGCTCGTTCAGCTACAACAATTCCTAACAGTTTCTCTCTCTCTTTCTCCCTCAGAGCAAAACAGAAACAAAAAAACTTCATCTGGTTAACGAAAAAAAAGGTTTCCTTAAATTGTTTTTGTTTGGTCAAAGAGTCTCCGCTACGCATAGTTTTGTCCGTCCGTTTAGATTTTGCACGGAAAGGTCATACAGCTCCTGGAGAATGGAAGGTGATTATCAGGTAAAGAAGGGGGAAGGTAGATAACGCTAATTCCTTAGATCAAAAGTCTTTCACTGACCTCAAAATATCCTTTTAAAGGGTTTGTCTATTCAAGGAAGGCATTTTATAAACACACTGTATATACACACTGTATATAAACACTGTATATACACACTGTATATAAGCACTGTATATACACACTGTATATAAACACTGTATATACACACTGTATATAAACACTGTATATACACACTGTACATCTTCAACGATTAATTCTCTTAAAAAACATTGCTTCGAAGATCAGATTTCGCCGCTTTATGACTTCATTATGAAATTTACGGTCAGTGCATGGAGAAATGATTTGTTTTTCAAGTGTTATGCCTTTTTAAGCTGAAGAACTGTTTCCCCTTATTTCTGATACTGGCGTTTTTTGTCTGTACCTTTGAACTTTTCTGCGCTTCTGAGCATGTTTTATCAGATGGAACTGCCCCGCGGGGGTTGCGAAATCCATGAATGGTCTGACGTGCGTTAGGTATAATGTCCGAAAAGGAATATTGTTCAAGGTCCCTGAAGGCTGCCCTGAGATTTCCAGCTTCACATACTCTGGCAGAATAGAATCTTTTCTTCCAGCCTGTTTTTCTTCTCTGGTCTTCTTTCCTGGAGACTTTTCCCGTCAGTACCTGTGCTTATTATTCTCATTGGTATTATATTATTGGCAACGATTGATATGACTCCTCCTCAGGCCGACTCCTCCTTAGGAGAACTCCTCCTCAGGAGGACTCCTCAGGCCGAGGACTCCTCAGGCCGACTCCTCCTCAGGCTGACTCCTCCTCAGACCAATTATTTACATGAATCAGAAACAGTACTAACCTTAGCACTGATTCTTATGGACTTTCCACTCTTCCCAGTCTCTTGTGTCCTCTCGTACAATGGCTCTTTGACGTCTGTTGTTAGTTATTGTTAATCCACGGTGGCGATTTTCCTGTCATCCTAGCCTGATCCTCCTGTTTGTCTTTGTCTTTAGTGGAGAACTGTGTTAACTCTTGCAGTCATGGAATGTGCGGTCCGTCCATCTCTCTTTCTCTCTAGCCATATTTCTGTGACTCATCGAAATCCAGCCATTTCGTAAGGCAAAAATTTGCCATTCCCAAAACAATGTTGGTTTTCTCGAATGAAGTCCGTCCTCCCCAGGTGATCGTAACGAGCACTTCCCAGCTATCTTCTCCAGAACTTTCGACATTATTCTTGTTTGGGATCCCTACTTATAAACCTCCCTACAGCGTAGCTTCGATGACTCTAGCAGATTGTTTCATTCCTCTGTTAGTAAACAGTTCTTCCCATTATCCTTTCTTAAATTTATACAACCTGATTCCATTATTTCGTGGTTTGGGTCCAGTCCGTCCTCCTGAAGCAAATTTCGATTTCTCACATAGGATTTCAAGGAAAAATCTCGATGTTCTCTAATTAGCAAGAAAATAACTAATTACAACGTACCATAATGCGGTAATGTAAAAATACAGTTAAACAGTCGTGTTTTCATTCCGGTATCAGTCACACATTTGACTAGGATTAGGATGATATGATTAGGATAATGAGCTTCTTGATTATAAATCCTATGTACCCGATTTATATCTCTCTCTTTTCATACCCGTCAGGCTGCGTCTCTCAAGAGAGTACAGACTCAGAGTTCTCAGCTGATCTTAGGAACATTTCTTTCTCTGTTCAAGTGTACATGTATTATTACATGTACACTCAGTGTACACACGTCAAGAGTGATGTATTAATACGAATATATACGACAAGTGTTCCTGTATTCTTATGTGACTGTATAGAAAACTGCAGCAGCACGCTGAGGATGTACCTAATTTTGTTGAAGGAGAAAAAAATTGACTCCTACCGGCTGCTTCCTTTTGATCTATCGCCCTTGATAATTACTGAAAAAATTAGTGTGCTCCGTTGATTAGGTTTCCGCCCCAATATCAAGTTCCTGGCATCGGCTCTCACAAAGGGAACGTTCGTGGGATGAATTACTCCTGCCTTGTGTGTGAGCGTATGATTATTACTTAAGTACCTAGATGAGTTCCCATGCATCACAGGTTAACATAAGCTTGAGCCAGATAAGTGCTGGAAACTCATTGCGAGAGATCGGATTTCTGGGCGATAATTAAAGATTAGCTTCGAGTTCCGTGAGTGAGGGCTGGGAGGAGAGAAGGGGCCAGGCCAGGGCCCTTGGATTCCCCTACCCTCAACCCTGCCTGTCCCTGTTTGAAGTACAGCCTTCAGGCGTCGGAGAAGGGCAGGCAGGGTCGCCTTTCAACCTACCTCAGATCTCAATAAGGTAATTAAAAGTCAAAAGGATGCGGGTGTCACTTTCAGCCCTCAGTCCCACCCTTTCTGTTGTCTGGTTATATCAATTCTTTCTCTTCTGTCGATCTTTTGAACTCGAAATTCAGCGGCCAGGATCTAATTTCACGCTGGACCTGCACAGCGGATCTAAGTAGCATATATTAGTGCACATGCAAGTGCACAATAAACTTAGCGCTGCACTTTGCAAAAAATAATATATGTCTGTGTTACAGGAGCTCATGTGTGTATTGTGAATGTGTAAAATAATAATAATAATAATAATTATAATAATATGATTATTACTATTATTACTCTTGATAGTTTTGTGTCATGATTCTAGCCACTGGTGAGGCCAGTGGCTATTTTGCGGATTTTATTGGAAATAAGCAAGACAGTCTGGTGACAGTGACTTTACTGGGTTATTCTGGGTTACTAGCTCTCCGGGTTATTAATCCCATTAAAATGTTCTTTTTCTTCTTACACAGGAAGAGAGTAGGTGAGAGGGAGGCGGCTGGAAAGATGTCACCGTCCTTCTTGTGTGTCACCAGTCAGGGATCAATATGTTGTTTTTATTAGCCGTATGACATCCTCGGTGCGTTAATCAGAGTCCTTGTCTCCATACCTTCCACACACACTTCCCCACTATCATCTCCCTTCCCTTCCCTTCCCTTCCCTTCCCTCCTGCACCAGCCACCTATAATTCTTGTGGATAAATGGTTCAGTAAACTCTGTTGTAAAACTTGGGTATCTTTACTGTGGAAACGTTTCGCCAACCAGTGGCTTCATCAGTCCAGTAGAGAGAAGAATGGTGGAAGATTAGGAGGTTGAGGCAATCAGTCCCTCAGCCTGGTACTTTAATCAAGATTGATGGACTGATCACATCGACTCCAGACTGAGGGACTGATTGCCTCAGACTACTTTCTAATCTTCCACCATTTTTTCTGTATTAGACTGAGGAAACCACTGGCTGGCGAAACGTATTCACAGTAAAGATACCCAAGTGTTGCACAAGTGTCTCACCATTACACTTGTTTCCCCACACTTTTCTTCTCCTAACACATTTATTCCCCTCTCCACACCTTTCTCTATCCACCTCTCTGTTTCCCCTCACCATTCTAGTCTTCTCATGCCTTCCCTTTTGTCTCCATTCCTCCCCTCCCCAAGATTTTTTTAAACACTCCTTCCCTTCCTTCCCCTCTCCCACACATCCCCTCTTTCCCTCTTTCATTTTCTACCTCTCCTCTGGCGAGTTCTAAAATAAACTGATTAAAGCTTCATGGTGTGTAGAGTCCAACTAACGATCTCTCTGTCCCAATTGCGTTTTACCGTCTATCTATCAGCAATGTGAAATAAATATATTATGTCTCTCTCCCCTAAAAAAAAAGGGACCCAATGGAAATAAGTCACTTTGACTTTCTTGGGTTACTTCAAGTAATCTACACATATGCTGCTATGTATGATAATTTATGTAACTGTATGTGTACCTGTAACTGAGTAAGTTTACTTCTTGAGGTAAGAACTTCGTGACACTATGATATAAAAAAAATAATGAGTGATGAATGTGTTGAAGCGATGTGTGTGAGGGAAGACCGTCAACACTCCCAGAAGGAAGAGAATCTGATTCTGATATGTTCTTGTGTGTGATTAAAGACTCCTGGCTGGACGATCCCATCCGGAAACGGTCTTGTGTGTATTTGCCTACTTGTAATTAGTTGAAATTGCGGGTTTCGAGCCTCAGCTCTTGGGCGATCCATTTAATATTGAGCTGGTTTGTGTGATTCTCATCCGTTATATCGTCTGGGAAGCCGTCAATCGCATCAGCTCTTATTTCATAGTTCTTTACGTTCTTGAAGCTTTTCACTGCTCAGAAAGTGTTAAATTTGTTTTGTTTTTCTTTTTGTAAGTCATTCCAAGACTGGATCTCATCGTAGTCAGTCCCCTCGCAAATCTCCAGCACTTGTACCACGACTGGAAATGATTTTCACTAGATTAGCGCCAGCCACAGCTACAACACTGAACACAGACTTGTGAGGTTGTGTGTGTATATATATATATATATATATATATATATAATAATATATAATAATATATATATATATATATTTATATATATATATATATATATATATATATATAATGTCGTGCCAAATATGTAAAACTGGTCAATTAGCAAGAACTCATTTAAAATTAAGTCCTTTCTGAATTTTTCTCTTATACGTTTAAAGATATATTTTTTCATTAATGTTAATGTAAAAAATTTTAATTTTGCACCAAAAGAATCTAGAAAACTTACCTAACCTTATTATAACAAGAGCAATTTATTTTAGCCTATCCCAACTAAATATATTTTAAATACGTTTACAATAATTTAGTACTTAACAAAAACAATCAAGTATATTTTTCTCGTTAGATCTGAATGATTTTGGGAAATTATTGCATACACAAATTTTCCAACTTTGCCTTATATGGCAAGATGAGCGTTGCTATTTAAACCAAGATCGCAAATTCTGCCTATTCGGCACGACATATATATATATATATATATAATATATATATATATATATATATATATATATATATATATATGTCGTGCCGAATATGTAAAACTAGTCAATTAGCAAGAACTCATTTAAAATTAAGTCCTTTCTAAAATTTTCTCTTATACATTTAGAGATATATTTTTTTCATTAATGTTAATGTAAAAATATTTAATTTTGCTCCAAAAGAATCTTAGAAAACTTACCTAACCTTATTATAACAAGAACAATTTATTTTAGCCTAACCCAACTAGATATATTTTAGATCTGTTTACAATAATTAAATACTAAACAAGCGCAGTGAAATATATTTTTTTTTTTGTTAGGTTCAGAATGATTTTGGCGAAATATTGCATACACAAATTTTCTCTTGTCCTATATGGCAAGATGAGCGTTGTTATTTAAGCCAAGATGGCAAGTTCTGCCTATTCGGCACGACATTATATATATATATGCGCGCAAGACGCCACGGGGGAGGGGTGGAAATCTTTAGCTCCAGTACTTTCATGCTTCTCAGTACGTTATCAGAAGCTATGCAATGTTGCAAAAGAGCCACTAAAGCAGGAAGAGAATTCTCAGAGTAGCGTAGGGCGTATGTGTCACCGGCCATGGTTACCAGTGGCTTCATCAGTCCAGTAGAGAAAAGAATGGTGGAAGACTAGGAGGAGGTTGAGACAATCAGTCCCTCAGCCTGGTTCTTTAATCAAAATTGATGGAGTGATCACACCGAGTAAATAGGCTGAGGGACTGATTACCTCAGACTACTTTCTAATCTTCCACCATTCTCCTGATGACGCACCGAGAAGTGTGAAAGTACTTGAGTTAAAGGTTTCCCCTTCGCCCCCGTGGCTTGTCCTGCACAGTTAAGATCGCCCGTTTGCAATTGTATGCAATATATATATATATATATATATATATATATATATATATATATATATATATATATATATAATATATTTCACCTTGCATAAAAATATTTGCAGAATTTGCTCGCTAATTAGCCCACTAAATCTCATATTTGAAAATCCTGTGCACGAAGGCGTAGTTATGAATTAAAACTTTTAAT